CCAGTCGCTCCGGGTCCTCCGGGGGAGCCAGCCCTGGCCCCAGTCCTCCTGCTCTTCCCTCTGCCAGAGAGCCCCGCCGAGCCCCAGCGCTGCCGCCTGGGCGCCCACCTCCTGGGCAGCAAGGACCAGTGGCCCTGGCCCAGCCGTGTTTCCCCCCGCAGCCCCCGGGGACTCCAGCGCTGGGGTTAGGGCTGCTGCCGGTGCAGCAGGACCCTTAGCCGTGCCGCAGAGTGGTGCTGGGATTCCTGGTGGCATCGGTGCAGTGATGTGTGTGTGGGGAAAGGTCAGGGCCATGGCCACTTAGAGCTAGCTGTGCGGGGTTTTCCATAAGCAGCCGAGGGCTGCACGTGTCAGCTTGTCTCAGTTTCCACGGGGCTCGAGGTTTCACGGTGCCAGAGCGATCGGCTGACGCAGGATGTCTCACATCCTGCTACGGAAGAAAACCACTTCTAAGTTGGGTAAAACTGCAGCACAAGCCACCGCAGCCACACCTGCCACCCTCTGCCTGCTACCTTCTGCTGAAGAAAGGAAGAGGTTTTAAGGATGATTTTCATCTTCCATGAAGTCTGCTTGCTGGCAGGGGAATTTGGGAAGCAGGAGGGCAGAGCTGTGCTTAACCCTGCACTGCTGGGTGCCTGCCCTGTCAGTACTGGAGCAGCTGCCCTCGTGCCTGTGCAGCGGAGGCTGTGTGGAACAAGGCCAGCCCTGGCAGTGAGAAAAGCCCAATGCACATGTGTTTTCCAGTTGGGTCAGCACTGGAGCACAATCCATAAGGGAGTGCAGGGAAGGTATCCTTGATCTGGGCTGGGAGATGTCCCTCTGGAAGGGTTTCATGGAGCTTGTGTTGGGGAGAGTAGACCAAATTGGCAGCAGTACCATCCCAGTCTGGGCCCAGCTCCACTGAGATGCAGGGTCCCAGCAGTGGCTGCAGAGGTCCTGAGGCCGGTTCCCTCCTGGAGCACTTTCCCCAGCCCACAGAGATGCCGAGGCTGGGCAGATCCAGTCGGGTGACCATGATCCAGCAGGGCTGCAGGCAGGGGTGGCTGCCCCCAGGCCCCGGGGCAGGTGGGCCCTGCCCCTTGCAATGCCAGCTGGCTGCACCTGGCAGCCAGTCCTGCTCAGTCCCTGCTGTGGTGCTGGGGAAGGGTCTCCCTGCAGTGCACTCCACATGGCCCTGTTCCTGCCACCGGCAGAGCTGGGGGCTTTTTCCAGGGCTCCCCTGCTTTAGTGTGTCCCTGCACCAGATGGGGTGTGGGGGGCTCCCTTCTTGCCCTGAAGCTGGTGGTTTGCCTGAGCAACTGAGGCATTGGTGGCTTTATAATCCTACAGCACCTGAAGGTTCTCCCCAGCCTCCACCAGGAATGAGCAAGAGCCGCCCCATGTGCTTCTGGCCTTTGCACCCAGATGACAACTGGAGCTCCCACTCTGTGTTTGGTCATCTGATGAGAAGTTAATGTTGAGGGCTGTCACAGTGTGTTCCCACCTGATGAGTCCTGTGCCAGGGGGCAAGGAGGGAGCTTCGACAGCGCTCAGAGAAACAATTGGCCACAGCAGCTAAGGGGAAGCTTGGGGACTGCACACAAAACACGTACTGTCCCATTCAGGTGAAGCAAAAGTAAAGACCTGGGCAAACAGGGAAATTTCTTTAAGCCTGGCTTGGTTCTGTGGCCGCCAGCACTGGAGGCTGTGGCAAGAAGCCAGCCTTGACTATGATCTGTCTTTGCCCCACGTCCCCTTTCCCCAGCACGGTGGCTGCTGACGTGTCGGCCCTGCAGCGCTTCGCTGTCGGCAGCCGGGCTGCGGCAGGGGTGGGGGGCACTTAGTAGGACTGAGCCCCCGCTTCCCACGGTGGCGTGAGGCTGTGGGAAGCTGGCAGCTGCTGGCATGAGTGAGCCTGGAATATGGGCCATTCTGCCTTGCAGTGCTGTGCCAGCTGTGCCTGCTGGGCTTTGGGCTGGGTTTGTCTGTCCGTGTCTGAGCGCCCCCTCCCCAGCACATTGAAGCCAATGGGTACACAGGGCTCCTGCTGCTGGGTCATAGGTGGGTTCCCAGCTTGGTGTTCCCTGCACACATGTACTCATGTTCCTGTATGTGTAGCTTGTGGAGCCCCCTGAGTGCCACAAGCACCTTATGGTGCTTGGGCTGTGCAAGGGTGTCTGCACCTGCATGGCAGGTGACAGCAGGGTGCTGTCATGGGACAGGTGATGGTAGCCCACACACCACAGCCCAGAGCAGGGGGAGAACTGGGGTAGGTCGATACATTGCAGGCATTACAGCTGCTGCTGACAAAGCCAGAGGCAGATAAAGTTACAGAACCCCCCCAGCCACTCAGTTTGTGTCTGAGGCTGTACCGCAGGACAAGGTCAGGGTGTTCAGGCTGCGCCCAAGTCCCTGCATGTGGCCACAATGAGATGTTGTGTCTGGGAGCTGGAGAGGAATAGAGCTGCTGGAGCCAGCAGGACCCTGCGGAGCACAGCTCCTGGCTGGGCCGTGGCAATCTCAGGCTGGTAGCATCCAGGGAGGAAGGGAAGAGAGGGGATAGAGAGGCTCCAGGGAAGGGGACTGCAGCCTCAGCTTTGGGAGAGGGTGAGGGTGGGTGCAGGGAAGGGGGCTGAACAGCACAGCTGCCTCCACCCTGCAGTCCCACGGGTCCCCTGGGCTGTGGTGCCTGCAGGCAGGGGTGAAGCCCTGTCTTGCTCTGTCTCCCATGGACCTCGGGCAGACGGGCAGTTGCACCACTGTTGGGTTTGTGCAGTCTCTGCAACCTGAAAGCCAAAAATTGACCTGATTTTTCCATGAAAGTGTGTTTCTATTGATTGTGTGTGCAGCTGGGCCACACCACACAGTGTGCTCAGTACCAGGGGTGTCTCTCCCAGCCCCAGTGAGCAGTTTGGCTCCTGTGCCTGTAGTGTGGGCCCCAGGAATCCTGGCAGGGCAGACCTTGTGAGATGGGAGAGTGCAGCTGGCTCTCAGTAGGGCTGCTGTTTCGCTGGTACACTGCTGCATGGAGCAGCTGCTCCTGCTGTCTCCCGGGGTGTGCTGGTGCCTCTGAGCCATAGCCCCCAAGTCTGAGAGGAGGGTTCGTGGTCCTCGCAGACATGGCTGCAGTAACTGCTTCACCCCCCTGCTGCACCATGGCTCAGGGTAAAGGGGTACCAGGGGTCCTGTGAGGTGAGGGAGCACAGCAGCCGCCCAGATCCACGCTGGTAGCCCTCCTCTCTGCTCCGTCTGCAGCTGTGCTCTGGGGGGCTGCTGGGACAGCATGTCCCTTCCCTGCCCGTGGCACTGTGCCACCCACAGCCAGGTGCTTGCCAGGCCAGGCGTTGTCTTTGGCAGGACAGTGGGGTCAGTGCAGGTCCCAGGCCAGGGGTTTATGTAAGAGTGCGGTGCTTCCTGCCTACCTGCCCCGCGGCACCCCAGTAAGCCCATGGCGACAAGGGCCCTTTGTCAGCTCCTCTCCCCAGCACCACATGTCACAGGGCCAGGTGCAGTGGCACCTCACCTGCCATGCCAGGCATCCAAAGATAAGGTGTGTGGGTGGGGCAGGCAGCCTGCCTACCAGCTCACCTCCCACCACGGGGACAGGGTCCAGCTCCAGGCCTGCCCCCATCCATATATCCTCTATATAACTCGGCAGGGCACAGCCAGCTCTGCTGTGCATCCAAGGGCCAGCCTGGGCTGGACGGGAACAGGAACAACTTCCGAGCACGCTGCGGTGGCGTTGGGGTGAGTCCTCCCTGCCTGTGGTGTGCCAGGCCCCCCAGGCTGCCCAGTGGGATTGTGGCCCTGAGGGTGGGCCTGGGGCACCAAAACCCCTGTGGCCGGTGGTCCCTGGTGCAGCTCTTCGGGCTGGATGCTGGGGTCTGCCCAGCCTGAGTCCCTGCAGCAGAACCAACTGTAGGGCAGCTTAGCACAGAAACCTGCCCTGTACCAGATTTTCTGGGCTGTTCTCAGCATCTCAGTTACCAAGGTGACTGTTTCCTGTGCAATTGCTAATGCTTCACAATCTCGATCATGATCTCTGAGTGACTTCCTTTCCTCCGTAAGGAGCACTAGGACCTGCTCCTGCTTGGGGCTGCCAGAGCCATTACAGGTATGGAGAATTCAGGTTTGAGTTCAGGTCAGTTTGGGTTCCGCTGCTTTTGCGTTGCTTGTGACACAGTGGACTGTTTTTTTACAAATTACTGAAGTCGTTTCACTTCTCACCTTTTCTCCTTGGTGGAAGTCTCTCTCCTGAAACAGGGCTAATGGATTTTCCTTGTGCTGCTGCTTTCCAGACAGTTTCTCTCTCAAGCTGCTGCACGCTGAACTGGGGTCGCAGCCCCATGGTACGGACCTCATGGGAAGGCCGGTGCTATTCCCATAGCCTGGCTGGGGAGCTGCCTTCTCCGGGGGCTGCCAGGGCTGAAACAGGCTAGTTTGGCTGGGCTCGTGTCTCGCCAGGCCCATGTTGAAGCACAACCCACCGCCTACTGCACCAGGCGAGGGATGGGGCGTCTTCTGTGTGCCCCTTGCTGCAGGTGCCCTCGTACCCCTGGTCAGTGCCGGGAGCTCATGGGGGGGTCACGACTCTCACGGGTCTCCTGCTTGGGTTGGCACAGGTATTCCCCGGGTGGGCACGGGCAGGCCCACGCAGGAGAGGCTGTGCTGAGCCCCGGGCAGTGCCCGGTGCTGGCGGGGGGGAGCGGCCCCGGTGCCGGCGGTGCCGCGGGCGGGGAGCTCGGAGGGGGTGCCGGGGGTCCGTGCCGGGCCCGGCGCTGCGGCGCGGGGCGGGCGGGGCGGGCGGCGGTGACGGCATCCGGCGGCGCCCGGCGGAGCGGCGGCCGGGCCGGGCCGGGCCGAGGGAGCCGCGCGGGGCCGGTGGCTCGGCCGTCGGGGCGGGGCCGGGCGGCGCTGACAGCTGCGCGGCGTAAACAAGCGGCCCCGCCGGCCGCCCCGGCCGCCCCTGCCTGGGCCGGGCCGGGCTCCGGGGCGGGCGCTCCGGGCGCCCCGCGGTGTGACGCGGCGCCGCCGACAGACGGGCCCGGCCGCCGGCGGGACGGGACGGAGCGGAGCGGGCAGGCCGCGCGGTAAGGACGCGGGACCGGCGCCGACCGCGGACGGCTCGACCCGCCAGCCCCCGCATTTTGACAGCTGGGGCGGCCCTGCCGGGCGGGACCCGGGCGGCGGCAGCGGGGCCGGCGCGGGCGGCGGGGCCGTGGCCGCTGGGCAGCCCCCGGCTCGGGGCGCTGCCGGCGGGGACGTGTGGGGGCCCCGCGGAGCCGCGTCCGTCTTCCCGGCGGCACCGGGCAGCGGGTGAGGGGCCGGGGCGGCCGCGCTCGGGGCTGCGGCGGGGGCGGCCAGAGCCGCCGCTGCGAGAGGCCGAGGAGGAGCCAGGCCGCGTCCCGACGAGCCCGCGACCCCGACACGGCCGCCGCCGCCCGGGGCTCCGCCGCTGGAGCCGCCCCGCCGGTTCGGCCCCGGGCTGGCTGTCCCCGCTCCAGGCGGTTCGCAGGCGCCGGGTCTGGCGTGGAGGCCTCGCAGGGTCCGGGCTCTTCTCCCGGGGCAAGGTTGTCCCCACGTGGAGCAGTCATCGCTAGAGCGGGGTGGCTGCTGGCGCCGGGACCAGCGAGGTGTGGGGGAGGCTGCTCGGCTCGGGGGCCGGGTGCTGGTGTGGAGATCGGCCACGGCAGACAGTGTTCCCTTGTCTATGCTTCCTGCTCTCTCCTCCTGCCGTTGCTTTTTCCCTTCCGTGGGTGCTCTGGAAGCCTTTCCGACGGGAAATTGCTGTGGGCCCTGGCACGGTCTGCACGCGGAGCTCCTGTCCATCCTCCGGCGGGTGCCTCGACGGCCCGGCCCGGCCCGGCCCGCGGCCGGCTGAGGGGGAAGCCTCGCTGTGCCAGAGTCGCAGCACTGTCTGTGCCGCAGCCTGCGGCGAGGTCTCCGGCGGCTGCCAGGAGCTTTCTCCGCTGGCAGCGCCGCAGGCTCCCGGCTCGCTGTGGCCGGAGGGGGATGGGGCTTCTCTGGCCACTGCTAGCTCTCACCTTTCCTGCTGTCTCTGAAGCGCGACCAGATATTTCAAAGCCCTTATGGAGCTCGCCCTGGCACCGTCATGTCATGGGCTCCCTGGCACTGGGTGGATCATTCCCTACTCTGTCTCCACTAACTTCTTGGGTTTGCCCTCCCACGTGTGAGCAATCCCCAGGCATCCCTGGGGTCATGCTGGAGGTAGCAGTGTGCCCTTTTTCGTGGTCCTGGTTTTCTCCCTGTTGTGAGGATGAGTCATACTGGTGTCACCATGTTGTGCTCCGGAGGAAGGGCAGAGCTGAGCTGCTGCTGGTGACAGGCAGTGCAGTGCTTGGCACAGCTGCCAGGCATTGCCTGGTCGATGTCTGTGGAGGTGTGGGCCTGGGGTCTGCTAACTGGAGAGCAGGGGCTCCCCCTGGCTTTCCTCCTTCCAGCCTTTAATTTAGCTGAGGTTCCTCGCACAGCGCCTGAGAACATCTACAGTCTCCCCTTCAGACTGGCAGGCTTCCCATCCCAGTTCCTCCTAGCTCTGTGCCCAGATATTCCCATCCCAGTTGGAGTAGGTGTAGTGGAGGCAGGAGCAGTGTCCCTTGCCTTGCCTTTTCCCTCCTTCAGTTCCCTCTCCCCTCCCAGTTGGTTCCCTGTGTTTGTAAGCAAACATTGGGCAACAGGCAAGGTAAACAGCAGCTCAGTGCCAGGGCAGGCATACGGGGCACCCCGCCAAGCCAGGCGCCTCCTCGGCTGTCTGTGTGCCACAGTGGGCAGCGGGTGACATGTGCCAGGGCCCCCTTGCCCAGTGCCAGAGCCGTGGCTCAGCAAGGTGCAGCCTGCCCTCCCTGGGTCTGAGGAGAGGTGCGCTGGGCCTGACTACTGCCCTGTCTCTCTGCAGATCGTGCTGCTGTCCCAGACGGCCTGTTCCTGTGCTGTTTTGGGCTCAGCCCAATGAGGGCTTGGGCTGAGCGGGAACCAGCAGGGTATAGAGGCCAGCACGCCTCAGAGTGCTGACGCTGGGAGGCCACTGGACCTGCCGCTTCTGGGACCCTCCTGCTCCCCAGCTCAAGGAACCCCGATTCTCTGATGGATCTGAGGCCCTGCTCGCTGCTGCTGCTCTGGACTCTGGTGGTTGCCCTTGCTCTCCTGGCTCAGGAGGTGCTGGCCCAGCATATTTACACCAACACCTGGGCTGTGCTTGTCCCTGCGGGGCCCCAGGAGGCTGACAGGCTGGCCAGGAAGCATGGATTCCTTAACCTGGGCCCGGTAAGTCCTCCACTTCCCTGTCCCCATGGAACCAGTGTCCTCTGCTGTGGTCTGGATGGGCGCTGAGCTTGGCCCTGGAGCTGGCTTGGGGTTGCTCCTTCTGGCTGCAGGGCCACTGTGTTTGTGCCTGTTTGCTGTAGCCTTCCAGCATCCCCTGCCTTGACTCAAGGGCTGCAATTAACTGGATGGAGCCAGAGCCTCCCCCTGCCAGCGGGACGGTCTGGTGGCATGGTGTGGCATAACATGGCACGGCACACTCCCTGCTGGAGGGGGATGGAGGAAAAGCCCGTCCCAGCGTGAAAGAACTGGACTGGGAGTGCTGTGCGCTGGTGGAGGATGGGAGGGCTCCTGGTTCACGCTGGTGTGAGCTGCAGCGAGCTGCCTCAGGACAGCACGGCCTCAGCTCAGCCAGGGCTGCAGCAGTGCCTCTGGGATGTTCACTGAACAGGTCTGACAGCAGCCATATGTCCTTGGCCCTAAACTGGCCTTGGCAGAAGGTGTCTCAGCAGGTCCCTGCCATGCTCTGCTTTCCCTGCCCTCAGCCAGGGACTAGGCAGCTCGTGTGGCTATGCTGGGGCTGAGCTGTCTCTCCAGGAAGGAAGTGCGGGGTGAAATCCCAGAGGAAATTGCACAACTGGTAGCTGCGGTGTCAGGACCTCGCTGTAAGCAGCTGCTGGGAGCCGTGGCAGTAGAAAGGTGGCTGCTGCAGGAGCCAACGGGGCCTTTTCCTGCCGCCTGAAAGGAACCTTGCAGAAGTGTTGGGGTACACAGGACCCCTGGGACAGGGAGCCCTGAATCCTCTAGGGCTTGTGCCAGAGGAGGGAACTGTGGGGGTTGTGTCTGGTCCCCACTGAGGGTCTCTGTGCTATGGGGGCCGTGGCATGGCCTCACACAGGTGCTGTCAGCATGGCAGTGTCTCAGAGCCGATCTCAGGGAAAAGAACTTGTCAGGCCAGAACTGCCACTGTGCAGAGGGGACTGGGAAAGTTGCCCAGGGCATGTGCCACCAGACCAGATCTCTGACAAGACCACTTGGAGTGTGAATGGGGCTGAGGTGTCATCAGTCTGCTCCTGGCAGTGCCTCCTGTTGCACTGTGGTGCCAGGTCCCAGGCCTAGCTGCCAGGGCCAAGGGGCACTGGCTCTGTGGCCGTGTCTTTAACGCTGCAGGGTCCTGTGCCTCAACTGGGAGCCCAGGCCTCTCTGGGGTCTGTCCCAGTGAGCCATAGAGGCTTTGCACCAGCTCAGCCCTCACCTTCTCCCCACACTGTGGTGCTGCAGCTGGAGGCTGCCTCTCCTAGGCTGCCTCTCCCTGGCTCTCTGGCCCCTCACAGCCAGTGGAGCTGCAGTGAGGCTGTCCTTGCAGTCAGAGCCCTGCGTGCTGTGACAGCCTGGACTGTGGCGGGAGCTCCTGGTCTGGGCATGTTTTCTCCCATTCTGGAGCCTGTCCCGGTGTCTGTGCTGCAGGACAAGGCTTGTCTGGCCCGGGTTTTGCAGAGGGGCCATGGTGACCTGGTGGGAAGAGCAGGGCTGGAAGGAGCCAGGCTTTCCATCTCAGGAGGTTTCTAGGTTGCTGCTCTTAGGGTGCATGTCGCTGGGACAGGATGCACAGTCAGGCTGGGAGGGGGGAGACTGGGTGCTTCTGGCAGTGCCGCAGTGAGAGGCCCCCAGGGTCCTTATCTGAGAGGATCCTGGCCTCAGCCTGGGGTCTGGACACTGTCCCTGAAGCAATGCTGTCCTGGTGTACTCCCAGCTCCACTGCTGCCTGCAGAGCCGGGCCAGTGGCACCTCGGGCAGATGGGTGGCAGGGCCTGTGACTGGTGCCAGTGGCCTTGAGAATGACCCAGGGGACAGTGAGGGGAGGCAGGGGTCAGCGGAGGGGATCGGGTGCTGCAACAGGATGAAAGCATAGGGGTTTGCACCACTGGGATTGTGCAGAGGAGGAGCACACAAAGAAGGGCACTGCTGGTGCCTGCTCTGGGCTGTGCTGGCAGGACAGTGCCAGCCTGGGATAGGGTTCTCCTGCCTCCCAAACCACTAGGCTGCAGGTCCAACATGTTGCCCCTCTCGCAGAGCTGTGGGCAGCCTTCTGACCCTGAGACTGGCTGGAGTGGCCTCAAGTTATCGCAGGAGGTTGGGCAGCAGTGCTGAGCTGGCACCGGCGACACACGGTGCTGGGGGGGTGGCTCTGCCCTTGCTGAGGACAGGGACTATAGGGATTAGGGTGGAAGCGTGTGGGCTGGCTGGCTCCTGGCTGCCACCACACTGTCACCATCCGACTAATCCAATTGGATGACCAGGCAGAGCCAGGATCTGTGTGCAGGAACAATTTGGGCTCTGTCTGTACCCCTGGAGGGGGTGAGGGATGCTGGGGGAGGGTAAGCAGCCTGCGCTTTGCATTCCCCCACCAGCCCGTAGCAGAAGCTTTGCACCTCAGCACCTCCTCAAGGGCTCTGAACTGCCAGGCTTCCCAGACTGTTCAGGGGGGGGACACAAAGTACCAGGGGAACAGATCCAGAGTTCGGAGTGAAGTGCATGACCACAGCCCGTAGCTGCTGCCCTGAGGCTTAGGGTGCTGCTCAGCCAGGTGCACCTTCCCTCCCTGCTTGGCCCAGGCTGTTCAAACTGGCAGCACATCTGCAGAGCTCTGATAAGCTGAGGAGATTTGTTAGCCACAAACAGACTGTTTTGGGGCAGCCTGAGGTGAAGAAGGACAAGATGTCCTCTTGTTCCCGCAGCCATCGCAGCCCAGCCACACGGACTCCGGCACAGCCTGGGCAGCCGGATCTTGCCTGCAGCTGCTGCCTGGGCTTCGTGGCTCCCAGGGGGCTGAGTGGGTGCTCAGCCCCTTCTCCACAGTCTAGGCAGGCTGCCGGGCTAGGAGGCTCTGGGTAGCTGGGGTGGGGCCACTGCATCTGCCAGCCCCAGGATGTGCAGGAAGGGATACGGAAATGACAGTGCTGGAGAGGGTTTGGAGTTTAAAAATAACTGTCTGGGCAGTGACACGGCCTCCTGCCCCAGCCGGGCTGTGCTGGGGTCCAAGCCTGCCCCAGTCCTGGTGCAGACCCTGCCCTGGCTGGGATCACCTGGGGCAAGGGGCTTGGAGCCCCTGGAACCCTCCTCCAGCAGGAGCTGTTTGGTACTGGGAGAGGAAGCGTGGCTTTGTCTCCTGAGGCTCGTGCCTCACCCAGGCTGGCTTCAAAAGGCCCATCCCTCACTGCCACTGCTTGCCTTGGGCCTCCTTGCTAGGGCAGCAACCTTTTTGGACAATCTGAGACTTGCAGCCATATGGGGACCCACGGGAGGATTAAGTGTGGGGAGGCTGCATTTCTGCTGCCCCAGGATCTCCTCAGCTACCTTGTCACCAGCTGCCACAGCCTTTCACAGGAGGTCCTTCCCTATGTACCTGGACACAAGCACTAGCTGCCACTCTGGAGTGGGGGGCCCAGCCTGCCCATGGCAACCCCGGAGCTCAGGATTGCAGGTGGGCGGGGGCGGTGAACTGGGGAGACAAGGCTCTCATCTCTGTCCCACGAACGGCACTTTTCTGTTGCAGATCTTTGGTGACTATTACCACTTTCGGCACCGTGGCGTGGTGAAGCGTTCCCTCTCACCCCACCAGCCCTGGCACAGCCGCTTGGCCAGGGAACCGCAGGTACGTGTGGGGGAGGGCCTGGCCTTGGTCCCAGGCACTTCACACGGGCACGTGAGCCTGTGCTGGGCACACGATGGGGCTGAGCTGCCTTAACCATCCCCTGGCAGACCCTGGTGGAAGCCCAGCATGTGTCCAGCAAGGGCAGGGGAGTGGTGGAGCCAGTACCACTGGCCTGTGGGCTGCTGCAGTCCCTGGGCCCCGGGCAGCCTCTGCTCCTGGGAGAGCTCTGTGTCCTTGTACATGGGACAAGGCCTGCAGGGCAGTGCTGGATCCCAGTGCAGCAGTATGGAAGGGCTCCAGCTCAGGCCCTGGAAGGCATGTGGCACAGTGGCTCTTGGCAGCTCGCAGCTCAGCGGAGCTCAGCGCTCTGATCGTCCCGCTCTGCTGGAGCACAGCCTGTGAAAGGCACGACTGGGCAGGGGACTGGGAGGCCAGGCTGGGGGCTGCTGTAACTCTGGGAGGTTCGATGCTCTGCCAGGCCAGGGCTGTCTGTGAGCTCCCCAGGGAGAGCCTCTCCAGGTGGGCTTGGGGCAGGGTCCTGGGGAGCTACTGGCATGAGGGGGACCCCATGCCATCTCTCCCCCAGGTGCAGTGGCTGGAGCAGCAGGTGGCAAAGCGCAGGACCAAGCGAGACATTTTCATGGAGCCCACGGACCCCAAGTTTCCACAGCAGTGGTACCTGGTGAGTGCTAGGTGACAAGGGGTGTGTGGTCACAATAGCGAGTGTGAGTTTGAGGATGTAGACATGACACCTAAGGAACTGCTGTCAGGCAGCTGCTGCCAGGCTGGTGGGGAGGAGAAAGAGAAGGGGGAAGGCCTGAGGCAGCCACCCAGTGCTGTGTGAAGGGTTCCCCTCAGGGAAGAGACTCTGCTCACAGAACTGTGGCTCCCTGCCAGAAGGCTGGGAGGGCCCGGGGCTGAACTAGAGTGGTACAGGCCTTTGCCTGGCCCAGCAGTGGGTCTGTGCCCCTGTCTGCATCCTGGAACTCAGGCATAAGCCTGATCTCTACAAAGGGAACCTTGTCTGTGGGACCCAAGCATAGTCTAGGGCTCAGTCTTGCTTTCAGAGCAGCCTTCCTTGGCTTGCTGTGCCCAGCCCTTTGCCTGGGCCACCAGGGTTCCTCATCCCCACCCACGGCAGAGCAGAGTGAGGACGGGGGCGGGGGGGGGCTTTGGTCACATCCCCGCCACTGTGCCTATGGCTGGGCCCAGCTCCTAGTGCCAGGGTTTCTCTTGGCAGTACAACACAAACCAGCGGGACCTGAATGTGCGTCAGGCCTGGGAGCAGGGATACACAGGCAAGGGCATCGTGGTGTCCATCCTGGATGATGGCATTGAGAAGAACCACCCTGACCTGGAAGCCAACTATGTGAGTGTGGGTAATGCCGCAGGGCGGAGTGCTACAGGAGCTGGTCCGGGTGGCTGTGTCTGCACAGGGCAGCCCTGGAGCTGTGAGGGGCAGGGGTGATGCCCGCCGTGGTGGGACACGGAGGTGGGACTGGAGCCTGCCCACCCTGCACAGACAGGCTGTGGAGCACAGTTATGGAGCGAGGGCAGTGGGGCTCGGTGGCCCAGGTAGACAGTGTCCAAGTGCCCAATTTGTCTTCCAGGACCCTGGGGCAAGTTTTGATGTCAATGACCAGGACCCAGACCCGCAGCCCCGCTACACGCAGATGAATGACAACAGGTGAGGCAGGAGGGAGCGGCGGGGATGCAGAGCTTGGATGCAGCAGGGACTCAGTCCAGTGCCACCCCCTGTGGCCTGTGGGAAGCTGTGGGGGCTAGCAGCACAATCCTGCCCCATGGGGAACCCCCTCACTCCCTTTCTGACATGAGCAGCATCCTTTGTCTGCCCTTTGCTGGTGCATGGCATTGAGTGCCCTGGCTCTGGAGCAGGAGGGCAGGTGGAGAAGCCTTTGTTAGCCACTGGTTCGGGGGGACAGGAGGCAACCTGGGTGAGGATTGCTGGGGCTGTAGCCAGTGCCCATCCCTGTACTCCTTGTGCCCCTTATGAGCGTGCTGTGTCCTTTTTTTGGCTGCAGACACGGCACGCGCTGCGCCGGGGAAGTGGCTGCCGTGGCAAACAATGGGATCTGTGGTGTTGGTGTGGCCTACAATGCCAGGATCGGAGGTAGGTGCTGCCCTGCCCTGCGCTGGGCCCCGCAGGTGCTGAGGGCCCGTAGGAGCAGCTGAGCTGGGAACCTCAGCACTGCTGGCTGGAGCAGCCCTGTCACAGCCCGTGGCACAGGTGACAACAGGGGTTGGAGGGTTCTCGCCAGCGGCACTGTGGCCACCCTGCCCCGTCCAGTCGCCTGTGACGTCTGCTCTCTGGCCCTAGGCGTGCGCATGCTGGATGGGGAGGTGACTGATGCTGTGGAGGCCCATTCCCTGGGCCTCAACCCCAACCACATCCACATCTACAGTGCCAGCTGGGGCCCTGAGGATGATGGCAAGACTGTGGATGGCCCGGCCCGGCTGGCAGAGGAGGCTTTCTTCCGTGGGGTCAGCCAGGTAAGCAGGAAGGTTTGCCAGGGGCCACTGGCCTGGCTCCTGCCCCTGCCCCCCAGGTCTCCCTTTCTCTGCCTGCCCTGGTCGTTATCCTGGCCCTCCCAGGATGAGCTGTCTTCCAGTCCATATCCAAGATCGGGCTCTGTTGGTTTTTCTTGTTCTTCCTGTGCATTGGCTTTGAGTTAGGACTCCTCTCAGCTGGTGTTGTCTCACCTTTCCAAGCAGCCCTGCACTCCCCAGTGGGAGGGCTCCTGTGAGGGACAGTCTCTCCCAAGCCCTGTGCTGGTTCTTGTCTGGTTTTGTGCCAGCTGTTCGCCCTCACTTCCTCTGCCTGTCCTCCCCCACTATCCCCATGTGCTGGCAGTGTCACCTGCCTGGGGAGCTGTGTTGTGTTCTGCCCGGGGTTCCCTACAGAGACACACCGGCAGTGCTATGCCGGCTCTGTCGCACCCGCTGCAAAGGGAGCTGCCACGTTTGGGTGCTGAGCCTTGTCTGGGATTGGGCCATGGGCTCCCTCAGCACTGCCAGGTGCTGCAATCCCACGCAGGCGGAGTCAGCCTGGGTGACTTCCGAGAGGAAGAAGACTTGGGCTTTTGGAAGCATTACATTGGCAGGGCCTCCTACCACCTGGTGTCTCACCCACTGGGGCCGCCTGGAGCCTCTGTCGAGGCTGTGACCAGAGTGTCCTGGTGTCCCCTGTGTCACAGCTGCATCCGCTCAGTCTTTTCCACTCAGGCTGCAGGAACCCTGGGACTGGCACCATCCACTTGTCCCCAGCTCCAGCCTGGGGCTCCCTGCCTGTGCTGGTGCTGGTGCTGGTGCTGGCCCTCACCCTGTCTCTGTTGCTAGGGCCGAGGGGGGCTGGGCTCCATCTTCGTCTGGGCATCTGGGAACGGGGGCCGTGAGCACGACAGCTGCAACTGTGACGGTTACACCAACAGCATCTACACGCTGTCCATCAGCAGCACCACACAGTACGGCAACGTGCCCTGGTACAGCGAGGCCTGCTCTTCCACCCTCGCCACCACGTACAGCAGCGGCAACCAGAACGAGAAGCAGATTGTGAGTGGGGGCTGCTGCTGTCTGCAGGCCTGGAGCTCTGGGGGTGGGATGGGCCTGCAGCACCTCCCACCCCGGCACTCTTCCTCGCAGGTGACGACTGACCTCAGACAGAAATGCACTGAGTTGCACACTGGGACGTCAGCCTCGGCACCCCTGGCCGCTGGCATCATTGCCCTTGCCCTGGAAGCCAAGTAAGGGCAAGGCAGAGGGGGCTGGACAGGGTTGGTTGTGCCAGCCCCATGTGGCAATGGCGCCTGGACACAGACCTATATGGGACCAGCAGTAGCTGGCACTGACCTGAACCCTGTGTCTCCCTGCAGCAAGAACCTGACCTGGCGGGACATGCAGCACCTGGTGGTGCAGACCTCAAAGCCAGCTCACCTCAATGCCAATGACTGGGTCACCAATGGTGTTGGTCGCAAAGGTACCGGGGTGCTGGGGAGGGACCAGGGGCTCCCATTCCCACGTGCACCACTAGCCTGGGGGTGCTGGGGCGGAGCGCTCTGGCAGCCCTGGCGGGCGGAGGAGGCAAGAGGCCCTGGTGAGCACGCAGCATGGCTTGGCAAATGTCCCCCACTGGGTACCCTCAGGAGTGTACCCTCTTTGTCCACAGTCAGCCACTCCTATGGCTATGGCCTGCTGGATGCCGGGGCCATGGTGAGCCTGGCCAAGAACTGGACCACAGTGGGACCTCAGAGGAAGTGCGTCATCGATATCCTTGCAGAGCCCAGGTAGGGCTGGTGAGCCTGTGATGGCATCACCCGGTGTTTGTCCCACACAGGAACTTGGGAGCCTCTGGGCTCAGCCTCAGAGCAGGGGCTGAGCTGCTGCTGAGACCCTCAGAGCATCCTCCTGAGAGAGCTTGGGGAGAACTGGGAAAGACACCTCCAGCTGTCCAGCACCAGTGTCGGCTGCTGAGCCTGCCCGCTGTGGGGCTGGGCTGGCGGGTGCAGGCAGGCTGGGGCGCTGCAGTCAGGGCACAGCCAGCACAAGTCATCCTGGACAGAGGGGCTTTTCAGAGGACAGACAGAAGCTCCTTTGACTCCTGCTTGGCTGCTGCCGCCACAGCACGTGTGCAGTCTTGTGTGCGTCTGGGGCGCTCCCTGGGGGCGCCTGGGCGTGGAGGGAGCCAGGGCTGGTCCCTGCCCTGACCCCCTGGGGATGAAGCCAAGGGGGGACGCAGTGGGCACATCCTGCGCTGGCCCCAGGGCCGGCATGGGTGGGGAGAACAGCTGTATGCCAGCAGCAGGATGGGCAAGGCTGTGCCTATCCTGTCCCTGGCCATGCTGTGCAGGGTGTAACTGGCCTGTGATGTGTGAATAAAAGGCCCATTCAGGGCTGGAACGGGGTGGTGGCTGGGGAGGCAGCTCTGGGCAGCACAGAACTCCTCATGCCCCAGAGCTGGGGCACTGTCGGCACCCATCAGGAAATGGCACGGAGATGCTACCACTCCCATCCACTGCAAGGTTGATTCCTGCTCCAGCTGCCCTGGCGCACAGTGCTTAATTCCCGGGACAGCCACAGAGCCCCACGGTGGAGAGCAGGGACTGGGGCACCCTGTCATGTCCCTGTGTTCTGGGACTGGCCTCATTTGTGCCCCACCTCGGCAGGGACATTGGGAAGCGCGTGGAGGTACGACGGAAGGTGGACGCCTGCCTGGGGAAAGCCAACTACATCAGCCGGCTGGAGCACGCGCAGGCCAGGCTGACGCTGTCCTACAACCGGCGTGGGGACCTGGCCATACACCTGGTCAGCCCCATGGGCACCCGCTCCACCCTCCTGGCTGCCAGGTAGGTGCCAGGCTGTGGGGTGCTCCAGGCTGGCCCCCAGTCTAGGCTGGCACAGGTGAGTTTGGGATATGTTGGCACCCACATCTTGACCCCATCACCCAGGCCCCACGACTTCTCGGCCGATGGCTTCAATGACTGGGCCTTCATGACGACACACTCGTGGGATGAGGACCCCTCTGGGGAGTGGGTGCTGGAGATTGAGAACACCAGTGACGCCAACAACTATGGTAGGGCTGGGCCTCCCGCTCCACTGCCTCCCTCTGAAATGGGAACTGTGTTGTTACCCAGCTTCGCCCCCCTGCTTCCAAGCCGAGTGGCTGATGTTTTGGGTGACCTGGCTGGAGGGAGGCTGGATTTGGGCATGTGGGATGGGCAGCAGGTGACCCCATGCTAGCTGGCCTGACCTTCCTGCTCCACGGGCAGCCGTGTGCAGGGGCATGGCCCCATATCAGAAACTCTCCCAGGTAGCGCACACAACTCTACTGTCCCCTGGCAGCTGTGGAGGGGAGCACTGTGAGCCCCTCCCTGTCTGTCCCAAGCATGGGTGGTCTCGCAGGCACCTCAGTGGTCCTCACCCCACATCGTTGCAGGCACACTGACCAAGTTCACACTTGTGCTGTATGGGACGGCCACCGACTCCCCCGGCCTCTCCAACCAGCTGGAGAGCAGTGGCTGCAAGACCCTGACCCCCAGCCAGACCTGTGTGGGTGAGTGTGGAGCTGGTGGGGAGGGGACGGGGGGGCCGAGGTGACTGCCAGCCCGTGCTGACCCTGCCTGTCCCGCAGTCTGTGAGGAGGGGTACTACCTGCACCAGAAGAGCTGCCTGAAGCACTGCCCTCCTGGCTTTGCACCCGGCGTCCAGAGCACGCACTACAACTTGGAGAACAGCGTGGAGCCCATCGCGCCCCATCTCTGCCTGCCCTGCCACCCCTCCTGCGCCACCTGTGTGGGACCCGGCCCCAACCAGTGCCTCACCTGCCCCGCGCACTCCCACTTCAGCAGCCTGGACCTCTCCTGCTCCCACCAGACACAGAGCAGCCGTGCATCCCCTGCCCTGGCAGATGGCGAGGGGCCGGCTGAGACCCCCTCTCCAGTCAACCTTCCCGTCCTCATTGCCAGCCTCAGCTGCGTCCTCATTGTCGTCATCTTTGTCACCATCTTCCTGGTGCTGCAGGCACGCTCAGGCTTCAGCCTGCGGGGCGTGAAGGTCTATGCCCTGGACAGCGGGATCATCTCCTACAAGGGGCTCCCCTCCGACATCTGGCAGGAGGAGGGCCCCTCCGAATCGGACGGTGAGGATTACGAGGCCCACAGTGAGAGGACTGCCTTCATCAGAGACCAAAGTGCCCTTTGATGAGCCCTCCTGCCCCTCCCTCCTCCCTGCCCAGCACCATGGGGCCAGGGCAGGTGAGGCCGAGGGGCCCAGACTCTGCCCCTGTCCCCTTCCTGCACTGCAGCAGCCCAGGGCTCCCACTCGCTGGCACTATCCCTCTACCCCAGCCTGGGTGGCCTGGCACAGCCCTGCTGGCACCATCTCCAGCATAGTACTGTCCCAGTCTTGCACCATCTCTCCTGGCCCTGCATCCATTCTGTGCCACATGCTGGGATGTTTGGCGGCAGTGGGGCCACGGGTGGGCAGCATGTGGGGTCTTTGGGTTGCCATGGCCCAAGGAGGGCTGGCTGAAGCAGGGGTGGCTCTGCCCCCCCAGGGCTGAGCCCAGCCCATGGCATGGTGTCCCCCTGCCCCTGCAACCCTTGGCATGACAGGCTGCGTCCCTGGCTTGGTCCATTGTGTCCTGGCTCCCTGCCGCCTGGCTGGACCTGTCCGCCCCCACCCGTGCCCTTCAACAGCAATAATGGCCAGGCCTCAGCTGCTGCTGCCTGCTTGCCCACTCTGCCCATCCCACCATGGCTGCCTGCAGTGGGCAGGAGCCCTGGCACCGGGGAGTGTGGGGCCAGGCACCGCCTTCCCTCGTGCCTGTGGTGCGGCCCACAGCCTGGGCAGGGACCCCTCGCACAGACCCTGCTCTGGGAGGCTGCCCCAGGCCCTTGTGTTCTGACCTCAGGCAGGGCTCAGGCAGTGCTGGTGCCAGCACTGCCCCAGCTCTGCCTGCACCCCACCTGTGCCAGGCAGCGCCTGGCGTCCCTGCAGCCCCACCCCCCTGATGTGCCTTGCCCCCATTTGGTGACAATCCGTTCTGCTCCCCCCCGGAGCCCCTTCCCTCGCTGCCCCTTCCCCGCGGGCTGGGGGCTGGTGCCGCGAGCCCCTTTGCCGTCCGCCGCCACACACCGGGGCCGTGGCACGGGCTCCCACCCGCGCCAGCCACAGATGGAGCCGCTGGCTGGGGGCCACAGGACTATTTTTCTATAACAACTTTTTGGTGCACAGTAATTTTTTTCTTGTAATTTAATCAGCCGGGAGCTGTCTCCTGAGCCTGTTTTTAATTTAATGGATGTGGATATAACGCTAGAGAGACTGAGTTATTAAATGTTCAGAACTATGCAAACCAGCTCCGCTGCCTGTTCTCTGTGCGCTGCAGGTGCCCTGACCAGCGTGCCAGCCTGGCCACGGGGGCCACGGGCCCCAGGGGCACCTGGAGCTGCGCTGCAGCTGCAGGAGAGGGACCTTGGGCCCTGCCTGCAGAACTCCCCTGCCCTTCCCTCCCCCCCCCGACCCCCAAGCCAGGGGCTGCCCTTCCCTGGCTGCGGGCAAGAACTGAGGTGCAGCAGATGATGTGGCAGAGATCATCCCTCACCTGAGCAAGGGGAAGCAGCTTTTTATGAGGACCTGCAGCACGGGCAGCTAATTTGGGAACTAGCTGTGGTGAGCGGAGGAAGGGTGGTGGCTCAAAAGCCTGGGTACCTTCCACCCCTTCCCACAGCGTGTTGGCTGAGACTCCCCTGCAGCCTGGGGATCAGCTGCAGCCCCCATGTCCTTTGGCAGCCTGCAACTGGAGCACGGTGCCCCTGGTATAGGGATGGCCAGGCTGGACCTGGGACCCGCTCGTGCCGTGGCCGAGCTGCAGAGAGCCCACCTCAGCCTCCCCAAGCTCCCTGCAGGGTCCCGTCCCTCGCAGGAGGGCCTGTTGGGACAGCATTTGCTCGCAGAGGCAGCTCCTTTCTGAGGAGCCTCTCGGCCTTGCTGTGCCCACAGCGGCTTCCTGTGGTCAGGAGCGAGTTCCCCGTGGCGTGCAGGGACTGCAGCGCGCTCACCCTGCTCTTCCTCTTCACACGAGACCGGGCTGGGGGCAGGCACTGTTCAGGGCTTCCAGGGAAGGGAGCTGCAGCCTGGCGCAGGCAGGGAGGGAACCTGTCCTGCCCGGGAGGATGCTGGGGATGGGAGAAGCGTCACCGTGGCAACCCCTGGACGTGCTGTGCCTTGCCATGGACCTGCTCCTCCGTGTGACCACCCCACATTGCTCAGCCGTGGGAAGGCAAGTCAGCAAAGCTCCCACCTGACACGCTTTTTCTCTGACTTCCTCTAAAAGTAGAATCGGTCTTGCAGTGTCCTGCGCAGGAGGGGGCTCAGCCCAAAACACCCAGGCAGTGTCCAGGCTGAGCAGAGTCGAGCTGACCTGGGTTGCGCCAGCAATGGAGACGTGTGGTGCCACTTGGTAGTGGCACTGGTGGTGCTCTGTCCTGCTGCCTTTCCCAGTCTCAAGGGCCAGACTTGGGGGTGGTGACAGGGTGGTCACCCTTCAGTGGGACTGCACAGAGCCCTGGGGAACCCCCACATCCTGCAGCCTCTTGGGGATGCAGAGGCATGGAGCAAGGCTGTGGGTCAGACAGGACTAGGCGTGGCTGAGTGGGCTTTGTTGGGTGGGACCCCCGCAGATCAGAGCTGAGTGGAGGTTCCGCAGTGGCAGTAGAGCCCTAGGTACACAGCACTGGACCCTGATGGTGTCAGGACCTGGTGGGAAGCAGCTGGGAGGAGCATCAGGGCTGGGAACTTCCCAGCTGCAGCACAGCTATGAGCCAGTGTTGGCCATGGGTGCAGGGACTGGCAGGGAGGGGAGGAAGCACAGGAAATCTCGCAATGGCTGTATGGTCAGCAGCGGGTTTCCTGTTCCTCCCCAGAAGCTGGAGCTGCACAGGGTCCAGACCACAGCAGCCCCAGCACCAGCAGGACGCCAACAGCAGTCCCACAGCGGGGACCTCCCAGCAGACTCAGGTTGGAGGGCTTGTGCCCCAGCAGGGCGCTGGCAGGGACAGGGGATACCTTTGTAGGGCGGGGGGGTTCTCAGGCCTTGCCTTTGGCAGGGTCAAGGGCTGTGCCAGGGGACATCCTGCCCTGCAGAGGGAGGTGCCCCAGCACTCTCCTGCTCCTGCTGTGCTCTTACCAAGGGGCAAAGCACCCCGGGACCTCTGCTGGGACTGGTTTGGCTCCCAGCTGCCTGAATTGGCTCCCAGTGGCCATGCTGGAGTCTCGGCTGCTGGGGCACGTCCAGGCTCAGCCATTTCCTTTGAGACTCAGCACCCTGTCCTGCTCCTGCTGGCTTCTCAGTTGTGCCCTGGTCCCTGGGAGCTTCCACACTGCAGGCACAGGGGTGGCAGTGCCAACAGGCAGGACAGGCACAAGGACTGGTGCCCAACTGGGGTGGGGGGCACAGCTATGCTGCCCTCAGGAGCAGCCCCATGCACAGCAGAGGTGACGCTGCTGTGTCTGACCCCACACTTCCTCCTCCCTGGTACTCTCCCTGCAGGCTCCGGCTCCCACAGGGCTTGGAGCGCTCACCCCACTGCTTTGAATGCACTTTGCAAGGCTGATTGTAGGGGGCATGGATGGTCTGCCCTGCCACACGGGCCGGGCAAAGTGGTGGGAGGGTGTGAGATGCAAAGGGCCCTGGCTGCTGGTGCGGGCAGTGCGGGGCAGCAGCCGTGACTCAGGCTGGCCCGGCACCCCACAGCCTTCCCCCACCCAGACGGTGGTGCCATGGGCTTCGGGCCGGAGCTGTGGTGCCCGCGGGGGCACAGCGCGCTGCTGCGGCTGCAGGACGGGGAGCTGCGTCTCCTGGAGCTGATGAAGAAGTGGATGTCGCAGCGTGCCAAGAGCGACCGGGAGTACGCAGGGATGCTGCACCACATGTTCTCCCAGCTGGAGAAGCAGGAAGGCACTGGGCAGCTCCGTGGTGACCACGGTGGCCAGATGGAGAAGGTAGAGGTGCTCCAGAGCAGGTGCTCGCAGAACCTAGTGTGGTGCTGGAGGGTGCTGTTCCTGATGCGCTGGCATCCTGCAGACCTGGTGGGTGCTGGCGAGCCGGACGGAGACGCTGAGCCAGATCCTACGGCAGCATGCAGAGGAGCTAGTGGCAGGGCCGCTGGCCAAGCTGAACCTGCTCATCCGTGACAAGCAGCAGCTGCGCAAGGCCTTCAGTGAGCAGTGGCAGCTGCTCAGCCAGGAGTACACCCGGGTATGTGGGGGCCAACAGGAGAGTGAGGGCACGGCCTGGCCCTGCTCCCTGACCATGTCCTTCCCCAGACGACACAGCAGGAGATGGAGAAGCTGAAGGCGCAGTATCGAAGCCTGGCACGTGACAGCGCCCAGGCCAAGCGCAAGTACCAGGAGGCCAGCAAAGGTGCCAGCCTGGCCCCCAGCTCCATCCCACTGCATCCCCTCCCAGCTCCCCTTGTGGGTCAAGGATGGCTGGAGCATCCTGCACCCCGTGGGAATCACGGCCCAGCCTGGAATGGGTGGAGGCTCTTGGGGTGGGCAGCATGGGGAGACCCCAGCCTGGCCTCCAAGGAGACGGGCAAGAGGCCGGAGGCTTTGGGACACCACGCTGTGGTGTCAGGAGCATGTGTCACAGTGTAACTGCCCTAGCCTTGGTCACCCTGCCTGCCCTGGGACCCTCTACCAGCCCAAAGGCCCCTGGCCCCTACCCCAGCCTTGCCAGGTGCTCTTGCCCCTCACTGATGTGCTGCAGTGCTGGGACTGGTGGTGTGCTGGTGGTTGGTGTTTTCCACGGCCTCTCCTCACAGACAAAGAGCGGGACAAAGCAAAGGAGAAGTATGTGCGCAGCCTCTGGAAGCTCTATGCCCTCCACAACCAATATGTGCTGGCCGTGCAGGCAGCTGCGCTGCACCACCAGCACTACTACCAGCGAGTGCTGCCCAGCCTGCACCAATCCCTCTACAGCCTGCAGCAGGAGATGGTCCTCGTCCTGTAAGAGTCCTGCTCACCCCACTGCTTGTCCTGTTCCCCACTGCCCATCCCATGCCCCACTCCCAATCCTGCACCCCCTGCCAGCCCTTCACCCCACTGCCAATCCCTGGGCACCCCCATGGCCCCCTAGAACCAGCAGTGCTCTTGCAGAAAGGAGATCCTTGGGGAGTACTGCAGCATCAGCAGCCTGGTACAGGAGGATGTTCTGGCCATTCACCATGAGATTGCCGGTGCCATCGAGGCCATCAACCCTGCCACCGAGTACAGCGGCTTCGTCCAGAGCCACCAGTATGGCCCTGTGCAGCTGCAGCCTCTCTGCTGGGCACGGCCCTGCCACCCACAGTTGCTGGCAGCCGGAACAGGGCAGATGGAGGCAGAGCCATTCTGGGTGCCCACAGGTATGACTCCGAGGTTCCACCAACCGTGTCCTTTGATGAGAGCCTGCTGGAGGAGACAGAGAGCCTGGTACCAGGGGAACTGCAGCTGAACGAGCTGACCCTTGAGAGCGTCCAGCACTGGTAAGTGGAGCTGGCCACAGGTTAGGGGCAGTGGCTCAGCATGCTAGCATGTGTCTCTTGCAGCCTGACGTCAGTCGAGGAGGAGCTGGTGGCCGCCACGGAGGCTGTGAACAGCAAGGAGCAGCAGGTGCGGGAGCTGAAGGCAGAGATCCACAATGAGGAGCAGGACTGGAGCCCCGGGAAGCGGTGAGGTGCAGTGGAGGGGGGGCGAGGGGCCGGGGCAGCGGGTGCTGACCACGCTGTCCCCTCCCCAGGGTGCACTTGCTGAGCAGGCGGCAGGGGCTGCACGAGGCACAGCAGCAGCTCGAGGTCTGCCTCTGTGCCCAGGCCAAGCTGCAGGCACAGCGGGACCTGCTGGCAGGGAAGCTGGCAGAGCTGGGGACCAGGGAGCCCCTGCCGGCCCTGCCTGTGCCGGAGGACCGGCAGTCTGTCTCCTCTACGGTGAGTCCTGCTTCCCACGCCCTAGGAGCGGAAGGGATGGGGTCCTCCCCAGCTGGCACACAGCTTACGCTTCCCACAGGAGCAGGAGCGAAGTGGGGCCAGTGCTCTGGAGACCCTCAAGAACCACATCACGGGTATCTTCAGCCCCAAGTACTCGGTGAGTCTCTGGGCACCTCCAGCCACCCTGCTCTCCACTCAGCTGGCCCTCCTGTGCCACCCCCTCTCCTCTCAGGCCTCACAGCCCCCTCCCCTCCCTATTCCAGCCCTTCTAGACTCTGGTCCCACCTGCCCTGTGCACAGCTTCCAGGCACTGCTGCTGCCCACCTCTGGCATGACTCAGGGATGGGCATGGCTGGGCTCACCCTGTTTCCTTCCAGCTGCCTCCCCC